CCCTTTCATACAGTATCAATCTTTTTTAAGTTAAATAAACTCTTTTTGTGTCTGGTTAGACTATCGAACTTAAGGAGTAAACTCCAGTCGTGCGTCGGAGCTGACACACACAATTTTTTTTTTAGACTTCAAACGGTTTTCGAAACTATAATATAAATTATAGTAAGACCATATTATAATATAAATTTTTGAAAAAAATAAATTCTACACCGCCGCGCCGTAAAATTACCAATTCGATAAATTTTATGACTAATATGCGCGTCTCTAATGACAATGAAGCACAATAATTTATTTGCAGTGCGACCAAGATTTTTTTTGAATGTGGCAAAAATTGGTCTTTGTAAGCGTCATTATTTTTTTTGTATGTCATTTTAAACAGTGGCGCACTCCTTGAACTGTCTCACATTCATAAAGATCTTCGTCGCAGTGTAGATTTGTTCGTAAAATGTAAAACTAGGTAATAGTTATGAATAAAAAACTTCATGGGCGCACAAACGGTCGTTATAGCGTGCCGCTAATAATAAAACAAGAGTAACTTTAAACGGTAGATGGTAATGAATTAAGGAATATACTACTTTCTCTATAACCACAAATGCCAAACAGTTTAAATATCGAATAAACCGCTAAAAATTTTAAATTTTACCGCTGTTTTATATTTTTCTGAAACACATTGCTTTTTTAATGTTTGTTATTCTGTTGATAATAAAAAAAGTATATACATTGTTATCATATATGATAATAAAATTTGTTTAAGTACATACGTGATAATAAATTAGAAGTTTTTATGACAGTTGTTTGTTTGTTGCGTTGCGGTGATTATTATATTGCCAGTTTCTGAAAGTTACCCATAATTAGTGGTAATCCAAAGGTATTGATTGAATTATTTTACTTTCTTCTATTAAATGGAGACAACCGAACATTACGTCTCTGTTTTTTCTGTTATATCTGATTTTTCTGTTTATCTTTACTTATCCAAACATAACGTAAGGAACATTTGGTGATTATAGTTGAGATGATTTTTTATCATTATAGTGAAATAAGGATGAAAATTCATTGCGATTTTTTGTTTTGACCCCTTTGAAGTTACTAAGTTTATATCCTTATTTCACTATAACGAAAAAACAATTCATCTCAACTATTGTCACCAAACTTTCGTTACATTATGTTTTGATAAGTAAGAAAAGAAGTTATGACAACAGAAAAACCTACAAATTACCGTAAGCAATCCAATCGACTAAACATCCAATGGGAGCGATCATTATCGCCAAAGCCGGCATGTGCAACTTCAAAGGGATCAAAACAAAAAGTCCCTATTTTTATAATAATAATTATCTGTTATTTATGAAGAAATATAAAACTAAAAGTAAATATTGGTGGTTAAGTCTTTTGTTTTCTAGTAAATCTTTCAATAATGTATATTACGTATATTTCGTTTAAGTCCATAATAAAACTATAAAGGACATTGTTCAGCGTCCATACATAGTAAGCGTAAGAACCAACAATCATGAAATATTATTTTCTAGGTTCAAAATCGTAAGTAAATGACTGTAAAAACAAAGATTATTGACGGACACTTCTGAGAACTTAAATTATTAGGAAAATTAATTTTTTTTGAGGTTATGTTTAATATCAATGAAACATAGGTCCACCCCTGAATTTAGTATAAACTCAGTATTAAGTGAATTAATATTACGACTAATTCATTTTATTCGGTGTGATTTTAAAGAATAACTATTAGGTTTTAAACTTGGTTAGGTAGGAATCATGAATAAACTAAAAACTGTAGTTTTGCTTCTTATTTATTGACTATTTTTCACATAATTGTATCATATTGTTTATTGTATTTATTTGTATATCACTTATTGTGTAAATATGCAGCGTGAATGTGTATCATTTGTTCTTGAATAATTTGGCAGTATGATCCTCTCAGGCTGTTGTGGCACAGGTTCACTAACACTTGGTAATAAGGGCTCTGCTCTTTGGTAACATCGATGGCATATTAGATAGAAATAGTTAAATTAAAGGAAAAACAATCGCAAATAAACACACACAACAGGTAATCCGAAACGAGAACGCACCACAGGAACGCACTTTCCGGTATATAATACTACTCTTTGGAATGCACGAATGCCACAGATTACTACGAATGCAAACTGCATGCACCACTACCACAGAGTAACAGTTTTATGCCGGCCCTTCACTTGACTACTTTTTGTCCTTGTCATGCTTAATAAGGAATGAAAAGGACAGACTGATATCATATTTTAAAATAGCAAATACGAATAGCCAAGTGAAGTGCCGGCATTAGGAAGAAACAGTGTTTTGTTTGCAGCGCTGCCATAGATTATACACATAAAATAATATTTATTGTCTCAGATTATTTTTTAACTTTTTAATATAGCTTACTTAACTGGAAGTGTCCGTCACAATCTAAATACTGATAATTATCGCGAAAAATATACTAAGAATTATCATAAATGCCAAATTGGTGTTGGTTCTTAGGCCAATTTTAACATTATCCTTTGGCCATATAGACAAATTTCTCGAATAGTCGGTGTATCTTTGATAGAAACTTTCGATCCACCAGCTAAGCAGCTAGTAAGATACTGGAAAAAAAAAATTGTTTTGAACACCCTTTTAACAAATCTTCTTCTTCACATCTGTACACAGTAAAATAATGTCTCTTTCCGTTTCTGTTTAAATTATATATTATAATTATTATAGAATATTATAATAGTTTTTTATAGAATCCTTTAAAATTCCATGTCGCATTTATGCATTTATACGATATTTTCCCCTCACAGTTCTGGTTAACATACAATTAAATGTTTGTGCTAAGGCTATTATTACTACTATAGCTTGGAGAAAAAAACTAACTTAATAAAAACAAAACCACAAAAAAATAAGAAATAATTCTTATCTTTAACTTAAGTCTAAAGTATTTATTTTAAACATTAAGTCATGAATAGGAATTACTTCTCAACTCTTAGTAGGTAGCTCTGTTTTTACGAAGTATGCCATAAAAAGATGTGATGGATGGGGTAGGACTGGAAAAGAAAAGGCAGACATGTTCGCTGAGCATCTAGCCAATATCTTATATCCAATGTTACGGTTCAAAAGGAACACAAGGATCAGCTCGATAGCATCCTAAAACAAAATTACCAAATGGCTCTGCCATCCAAACCTGTTACAGGCAAAAAAGGTATGTCATTTAAATTAAAAGAAAAAAGAATCTGGATTGGATCTGATCACTAAACAAGTCATTAGACAAGTTCCTAAGAAGACTATGGACTTCTGAACTATTTTATACAACTGCAGACTAAGGGTACAGTACTTTTCAAGATTGTGGAAGGTATCCTAAATAATAGTAATGCATAAGGATGGCACACCACCAAGTGAAGTCGGCTCACACCCATACATCAGATTACTGCCGATTCTATCAAAGAACTTTGAAAAACTGTTCGCAGAATCCTTCTATTACTGAAAGAAAACAATGTCATCAATTTGGGTTTAGACAGGAACACTCCATTATAGAACAAGTGCATAAAGTTTACTAGAGAGACTCTCAAAGAAAAGCAGTATTGTTCAGCGGTGTTCTTTGCATGTGCAGCAGGCGTTTGATATGGTGTGGCATAAGATAATACTATGGAAACTAAAATGAAGCCTTTTACATAGTTATCACCAAACCTTGGAAGCTTAATGCGAATTAATTACGAATGCATATTCCAAGTTAAAGAATCAGGAGAAACGTCAAAATTATTTGAAATATATCCTGGAGTTCAACAAGGCTAATTTCCTTGGACTGATATTATACACTGTTTATATAGCTGACTTACCTTATTTTTTTGAAGTTATACTTCTTTAGCCGCGTTATGAAAAAATTATGAGAGTGAAATTTTCAGATGCGCGCGCAACACTATGAAGTCGGCCGCTAAACCACACATTACTCGTAAGTTTCGAAAAAAAGCTTCCAACAAAATAGTAATAGGATCTCTTAGTCGCACATGTTGGGACGCTCGTCGCCTCTGATCACTGTTTTCATATTTATAATATTTATCCACATGTTTCTAGTTTCTATATTCTTAACACGTGTTATAATGTTATACAAATGCGAAATTTATATGTGCTAATAAATTTTATTCAGTAGTGATTTAAATTGAATATTTTGATTATTTATTAAATTTTTCGAATTAAAACTGAACTTTATTGACTGCGTTGACTATCCTTTTCCAATCCTTTTATTATCTTATTGTAATTAATTATCTGCATGCAATTAAAAACTATTTTTTAATAATTCCAAAAAGAAGTATAACTTCTCACGCGCGTATTTAAGTACACGCACCCATATTTTTTATAATACAACAGAATACATACAACCCTAAATTTTCACCCTTCTACCACCAACTCCTATTTTATTATGGCGGTACGAAGTTCACTGGGAGAGCTTGTAATTATATAGAAATTTATATTAAACATCCATGACTGGAGTATAAATGCTCATGTTCATCACACAAACATCTGTTCAGCACGCGTTTTTTCAGATTTCTGTTTCTAAGGTTTCTTATCCTAAATTTAAATTTTCCTAAATTATCCTACACTCTCAACAATAATTTTTAATCATAATTTTTTTTAAACTTTAAATCAGACAATCCATAGGTATCTATTTAAAACAAGAATTTTATTTGGCAAATACTTATTAGAGATTAAAAATGATATTATTACGCTGCGCTTTGCTCCAATACATGGTGCTAGCAAAGCTTTATGCTAGCGATTTCTTTAAAATACCGACCTATAGTTACTTTATGTGTTAAGTGTGTTATATAAGACTTAAAACTTTAAGGAAAAAAGTGAATTTCATCATCTTTTTTTAAAATTCGTTTTCAATTTGAAAAAATTGGTAAATAAATATCTAACTTGGCAACATCGTTGCTAGGATACGAGTATGGCAGAATGAACCGAAGATTACCGAATGAATTTCTATTGGAAGCCGAGAGTTGCCGACCGAATGATTAGGTCACGTGGTACAAAATTCGAGTCTTCGTGGCGTAGCTTGTTCAGCTGCTCGTCGAAGCGGCTGTCGGACGGTCGCCTCTTAGCGAGTCGCTGTACGATGTAGCGGCCATTTTTGTTCTTAGTTCATTATAGCGTGCGCATATTTAATGTCTCTAGAAGGATATTTTAGCAATTTTCACGATGACTATCATAGTCTTTCTAATAGATACATCAGCTTCTATGAACCAAAGAGCTTATTTGGGCGGACGCCCAACATTGCTCGATGTAGCCAAGGGCGCTGTGGAAACGTTCGTAAAGGTACGTGCAGTGTCATCGACTCGTCAACCGCCTCGTTTTTGTGATCGATTTGTTTATCGCGTGTTGTGTTTTGAACTATTTAATTTTATTGTTTAGGTTCGACAACGTTCTCCTGAAAGCAGAGGTGACAGATATATGCTTCTAACTTTCGAAGAGCCACCCGCGAACATCAAGGTTAGTATCAAGTGAACACGTTATTGAGGGTTTTCTGATTATTTACGCCGTTGTTGAGCATGTGACAGTTGGTGCCACGGCGTCCACCTTCGAATCACAGTAATCTGTAAACCAGAACATAACATACTGGGAAAGTGCGAATTTACTGAAATAGACAGCACGACGTAAACAGGACAAATCGCCGCCGTTGCTGCTTTCCGATAGCGCTCGCGGCTGCGCTCTCGTCGCATTCCTATTGGCAACGCTAGCACACAACGAAATGGCGATTTAGGTGGGAAATTCAAAACTGCGCTAAAGTGCGCTACTGCGCGTAGTAGCTTCATAATAAAGACAAGAAACCTTGAATTATAATGATGTATTATTCCATACTTCGATTATGTTTTCTTAATTAGAATCATAGCAGAATAAAATAATGCATTAATTTATTACTGATAATAATCAAGAAAACCCTTTTACCACTGCACAGGGGGAGCTAATTGATTGGAAACTAATCCTCTCTCATTGTCATCAGGTCATACCTTATCTATGAGGATCATAATTATCTTTTCAGTAGTTGTTAACAATTAAAATGAGTTAACCCATCTATTTATTATATTTAATGTAGTTAAAGACAAAAATTCTTTGTTCAAATTGGGAGCTTTATTACATTTTTTAAATCTTCCCAACAACATATTTTTTTGCATATCATGTCAGATTTAGACATCCTGCAGGTACATACATATATGTGACAACAGTTTAAACCCAATAATTTATTATTGTATGACTAATTGCAATTTAATTAATTTTCAGGCAGGATGGAAGGAGAATTTAGCAACATTCATAAACGAATTGAAGAATTTGCAATGCCTTGGCTTAACAACTATGGGTGCAGCCTTGAAACATGCCTTCGATGTTTTGAATATAAACCGTATGCAGACTGGTATCGATACATATGGACAGGGCAGGTGCCCATTTTATTTAGAACCATCGGTTATTGTGGTAATAACAGATGGAGGAAAATTATCTAGTAATGCTGGCATTCAGGAAGAGGTAAAACACCTAGTTTATTTTGGGTTTGATTCTAACACTATCTCTAATCTTTATATTAAATTGAACAGCAGGCAGTCTCTCCATTTTTATTCTCTTTAATGTGCAATAAGGATACAAGTATTGATCAAATTTAGTTTTAAGTTTAGAGGATCATTCTGGAATCATTTTTATTATCATACTTTGCATATTATCGTCAGTCTTAAAACATTGTTTAATCAACATCAACCACATTGATAAATTTTTAGACAGGAAAATTAATATGAGTCTTGACCAATGTAACATAAACAAGAATAATAAAGAAAATACCAACTTAGTTGAACAAAATTTAAGAAAATATGTAACATAACTTTCTTTTGTATTTTAACTCAATTAGTAATAGAAGTTTAGACTACTCTAGTAATAATATAATATTTCTCTTATTTCAGTTTAATCTGCCTATGAATTGCCCTATACCTGGGTCTGAATTGACCAGGGAACCATTTCGTTGGGACCAAAGACTGTTCTCGTTGGTGCTCCGATTGGCTGGTACACCTGCAGTTGAGAGGGACACTGGCCTTGTGCCTTCTGATTCTTCACCTATCGACGCGATGTGTGAAGTCACTGGTGGTAAGCATTTTTTAATGTTTTCAATCATATGATAAAGAAATACACCAATCCGCACTGGCCCCCATGATTGGTTATGGCCTAAACCCCCTATTTCATTAATGGGGATGATCTGTGCCCCAACAGTGGAGACATTTATATGCTGGTGATGCATATCAAATACAGCATTTTGTATGCTTATTGATATTAATTTTATCACATTTATAACTAGTGATGTATACGATACTGATATATCTGCTATATTTCGGGTTTGCCAATATATCGACATCGACGATTTATGGCCGATCCAACGATTACTATGAATGTCGTGCTTTAAAAATGTAATATTAACATGCCTGTTCTCTTGTCTATTTAATTGAAAATGAGGCACAAACTAAATGCGGGCTCTCTTAACTATCATATTTCGCGAGATTGACTGGTCAGGAAAAAAAGTACATATTAGAAAGTCAAAGTTTTTATGAGTAACAAATTTTTTTTTTTTTGTTTTCGGTTTACTACAATCTGTCTCCTTCTTGGGCCATTCAGCAGTATTTTGGTTGGTACTATTGCTGGCGCGCTCAGTATGTGACCTGTGTCACAACCTCATTGTTTAGACAGTATGTTTTACTGTGATTGGGCTACATTATCTTGTGGTATTTTAAGTTTTAATCGTCGTGCTTTGATGTGGTTCTCCATTAATGGCCGAGCTAAAGCATTTGGATGTGTTTTGATGCGTTCTTTATAGGACTTAGTATGGCGGACAATTTCTTGCTTTACAGTAGGTATCCTTAGGTCATGATGTAGTAGTTCGTTGGGAACAAACCAGGGTGCGTTGGTAATCATACGCAGGGATTTATTTTGAAACCTTTGTAGAATTTCAATGTTTGAGTTAGATGCGGTGCCCCATAATTAGATCCCATACGTCCAGACGGGCTTTAATATTGCCTTGTACAGGAGTATTTTGTTTTCAAGTAAAAGTTGAGATTTTCGCCCAATAAGCCAGTAGAGTTTTCGTGTTTGGATACTAAGTTGCTTCCTCTTAGTAAAAAATGTTTTTGCCAGGTAAGTCTTTTGTCTAAGTGCAATCCAAGATATTTTACATGATCTGCCTATGGAACTTCAATGTTATTTAATTTGACTGGAGGGCAAGATCCTCTTCTTAAAGTAAACGTAACATTGACTGATTTTGTACTGAGTAACAAATTATAACATCAATTTATTCGTAATACAAACACTAATATTTTTGAAATAACAACACGGAGATTTAAATTTGAGATATCTCGCCGCGTCGGTAATACCGTTGTGTACCCGTGCACACCCCGCCCGCCCCGCGTCCCGCTAACCATCCGGATGGTCGGCTTTTCGGCGGTCAAGCAACAAAACTAGTCATTTGATTGAAATAAATAAAAGCTATAAAACTAGTCATTAGAGTCAAATAAATAAAAGCTATAAAACTAGTCATTTGATTGAAATAAATAATAGTCATGTCAACTTAAAACCCAAAGTTTTATAGTTTTTACCAGTTTTATTTAGCTTGACCTGCTATTTGTTATTTTATATCAATTAAAAAAAAATAACCTGAATTGTCTTTTATTTATTTTACTTTAATTTTTGAATAGGGTATTTTACCCGCCCTCGCTTCGCTTCGGTGTAGAGCAGAAGTGTAGACTACAGTTTTTCTTCTCAGGCTTGTATTATACACAATGATATTCATCTATAATTCTTTTTATACCTGCATGCAAAGTCTCAGCCCAATCGATTTAAAATTGACAAAGTTTCATACAAACTTTCATTCCCTATTGTATCCCCTTGGGGGTAGAATTGATCAAAATCCTTTCTTAGCAGATGCCTACATCATAATATCTACCTGCATGCCAAATTTCAGCCCAATCCGTCCAGTGGTTTGGGCTGTGCGTTGATAGATCACTATGTCAGTCAGTCACCTTTGAGTTTTATATATATATATATAGATTGGGACATATGATTTAAAAGAAAAATAAAAATAAATAAATAATGTATTATTTTCTCCATTAAACATATTAAAGTTTTTTTTTCTAAATGGCTTCGCACGGCTTGTGCATTTAGCCAATGTCAAGTGTTAAAATGTTTACAAATACTATAGCACTCGTGGTCAAAGTAATAAATCAAATCAAAGTAAGTGGCAGTCAAGTCAATCCCCCTTTCCCTATGTTTCAGTAAAAGTGTAGGGATTTACTGGAACCTCTCCGTGGACTTTTCGAGGGAACGTCGAAAGACACTTTCCGCAATCTTTACCACTGCTGCTCCGCTCCTATTGGTCGTATCATACGACCGTATGTTATCTATATATATCCTATAACCTTCCTCGATAAATGCACTATGCAACTCAATTTTCCTTCTTAAATCGGAGTTTCTGAAATTAGAGCGTTTAACCAAACAAACAAACTCTTCAGTTTTATAATATTTGTATAGATTTAAAATATTTTCGGCAAATTAAATCCACGCCGACCAAGTGCATTTTCTTCGTCTGTGGTATCTTTAAATTTTTATTAAAACTTTTACTAAGAATAAAGCGTGGTCTTTTGGGGTTCGTGACTCCCGTCTTCCGGCTATAATGTCAACGGTCCTGACTGCGCTGTGAAATGCTCCATGTTACCTATCTTATCTATTTGGGGGAGGCCTTACGTCTAATGAGGCGTAAATATAAATAATATATGGTACGGCGAATTAGGGTGTATTTGCATCCTTACGTAGCTAGAGCACTTGAGGCATAGATAAATATTTGTCGCGTCGGTCGTAGGAGGCGATATACAGTTTTAGGAGATGGGTACTAATTTCTAATAGAGATCTAGTGCAAGCAAGCATAGTGTTCCGATCCTTAGGGCATAGAGCACTCAACATTTGCATCTTAGAATTGTAAATCTTGATGCACACTTATCTGTTTAATATAGTATCGTACAGGGAATGATGGATGCTAATAAGCAAAACATCAACAAAACTGTAGAGGAGATAATATTATTAAAGTTGCTTATCCTATGCAACAGTAAAATTAATCCTTTCTTACGTTTCCCCGTTAATTGAATTGCAATTAATGTTAATAGTAAAGTATTTCTCCTCTCTCCACAATAAAACAAAGAACAGGTATAACAATAATTGGTCTAGCTAGAATAAAAGCTTTTGACACTGTTAAAAATATGTTAATTTCATTTCTTTTAATGAAAGTATCATAATTATTCTTTTTACTCAAATATGGGCATATGTTATGGTAACCTGTCTAACTAGTTTTGCATAGTTCACAAAGTGTCAAGGTAACCAATACACTAACATAACCGACGCATTATTTGTTTTATTATTTACAATGCGAGTAAAATTTTAACTTTCCTTTCTTATTTTTGTTACTATTTATATTGAAATATAACTTATTAGGTCATCATGACATGTTTAATTTAGCAGAATCGACATCTAGGGCGATTTCCCTGGATATCGATTCTGCTAAATTAAGTTAATAATCGTGTATCAATAGTTATTGCTACTAAAACACAAAATTACAAATATATTAGCTTATTTGTTATTGTTAACTATATGCATTTGTTATTTTATGTTTGTGTAACAAAAACTGTGTCAAAAGCGATACTATTCAACTACTAACTAGACACGATTTTTACGTAAGCTTAGTTGTATCGACACCCTGGTCTGTGCCCCAGCAGTGGGAACATTAATAGGCTAACGGTAATAATGATGCTTGTTACAGGGCGATCGTATTGTATCACGTCACACCGTATGCTCATGCAATGTATCGACAGTTTGGTACAAAAGGTGCAGAGCGGTGTCGTAATCAACTTCGAGAAGATTGGTCCGGACCCGCCGCCTATAGACGGTGGCAATAATCGGGATGGCACAGACCAACCCGAAGACATGCCACATGATGTGGAAAAGGAGATGGAGGGAGACGCCGACAGGAATGGGGTAAGAACTTTTTTGTGAGATATGAATTTACTAGCTGTGCCCCGCAGTGTTACCCGCGGTTCATTAGGGATATTTTCCCGCAGTTAAACGTAGTCTATGTGTTAATCCGGGGTGTCAGCTAACTCCATACGAAATTTTATTAAAATCGCTCCAGCCGTTTAGACGTGTAGAAGTAACAAACATACACACTGACAAACTTTCGCCTTTATAATATTAGTGTGATAACAAATAACAAGAGTTTTACGAGCATATTCAGAGACGTCAATAGGGATGATGACAGTCTAAAGTAAACTTCTATTTAGTCTATGTGGGCTATGTCGATATAACTCTGGTTCTCTGTCGGATTACCTCATTTCTGATGCGATCCTTCAGAAAAACGCCGAGCATAGCCCTTTCCATAGCGCGCTGAGCGACTTAGAACTTGTGGACTAGCCGTACCGTCAGTGTCCACGTCTCGGCTCCGTATGTCATCACAGGTAGGACGCACTGATTGAAGATTTTCAGCTAACTCCATACCAAATTTTATTAAAATCGCTCCAGCCGTTTAGACGTGTAGAAGTAACAAACATACACACTGACAAACTTTCGCCTTTATAATATTAGTGTGATAACAAATAACACGAGTTTTACGAGCATATTCAGAGACGTCAATAGGGATGATGACAGTGTAAAGTAAACTTCTATTTAGTCTGTCATTTAGATTATCAAAAATAATGGACCAGTATTCTTTATTTTCTTAATCAACCAAAAAATTTACAAAAATAAATCACGTCAAAGTTTGGGAGTGCGGGTTTGTGACATCACTTCTGAGTAAAAATTTTACTAAATCGTGATGTCATGCGACATTTTAGATCAATGTACAAGGTATCTCTGTAATGTTTTGATTATGTGAAAAAAGAAAAAATATTTTTGATAAAAGTTAGTCATCATTCAAATTGTCTTTTTCCATTAAGCACTAAGTTTAATCTAACTTAAAAGTTAATTTAATTGACGTCTCTGCTTGCGGCGGCTTAAAATTAAAAGTGCGTGCTTGTATTTTTTATCTGTCTATTTATTTCTAAGCTTTGTTTGTGGAAGAATGTGAATTGCTTTTTTTAGGGTTCAGTCCTGACAAGGAACCCTTATAATTTCGTCATATCCGTCGGTCGGTCTGTCCGTCCCCGGTTTTGCTTGGAGACTGTAATCACTAGAGAGCTGTAATTTTGTGGAGATATGTATATCAATCACACCGGCCATATGGTAGATTTTTTTTTAAATATGTTTTTAAGGTATCTCCCCTACATATATACTGGAATGTATTTTTTCATTGTCTACCCCATTGCGTGGGGTATCGTTGAATAGGTCTGCCATTAAGGCCTTGGTAGCATAGTTGATTAATGCATCCGCCCGGATAGTGCACAGTGCAGGTTTGAATCCTGTTTTATAACTGGACCGAGTTGATTTTTTTCTAGATAAATGTTCTTTAGATTAATAGAACTAGCGGTTTAATGCGTAAAGTAACATCAACAGCCTATCCTAGTCCACTGCTGGACATAGGCCTCTCCAATTGCACGCCACTCAGATCGATCTTGGGCTACTCGCATCCAGCTTCTGCCAGCCACCTTGCGCAAACCGTCTCTCCATCGTGCCTGAGGACGTCCTACACTACGTTTGCCCTAGACGCGGTCGCCACTCCAGAACTCGTCTACCCCAACTGTTATCGGATCTTCGGCAAATATGGTCAGCCCACTGCCACTTCAACTTGCTAGTCCGGTGGGCTATGTCGATATAACTCTGGTTCTCTGTCGGATTACCTCATTTCTGATGCGATCCTTCAGAGAAACGCCGAGCATAGCCCTTTCCATAGCGCGCTGAGCGACTTTGAACTTGTGGACTAGCCGTACCGTCAGTGTCCACGTCTCGGCTCCGTATGTCATCACAGGTAGGACGCACTGATTGAAGATTTTCGTCTTTAGGCACTGTAGGATTGACGATGTCAGGACTTGACGTAGTTTCCCAAACGCTCCCCAACCTAGCTGAATTCTTCTATTCACCTCGTCCTCAAAGTTGTTTCTACCTAACTGCCCGAGGTACACATTTTTGAACAACTTCGAGAACGGCACCGTGTATTGCAATCGGTTCCGGTAGAACATGTTCATTGAACATGACCTTGGTTTTATGCAAGTTCATCCGTAGGCCGTTGCGTATAGAACAGTCAGTCAGGTCATTCAGCATTTTTGTAGGTCCTGCAGGGTTTCTGCCATGATGACGATGTCGTCTGCAAATCGCAAGTGAGAGATGCGTTCGCCATTTATGTTGATGCCACGTCCTTTCCAGTTCAGCGTCTTGAACATATCCTCCATTGCATTTGGGAACAATTTTGGGGAAATAACGTCCCCTTGTTTCACTCCACGATGCAACGGTATGGGACTCGTAAAGTAACAATATAATAAATTGATACCATTTCTTTGCAGCGGTGGAACGGCGGTCCCTATCAAACGGGAATGCCTCCGAACCAAGGCCCTAGCGCGCCTCAAGCATGGCACTCTTGCCGCCGACTTATATACGTCCCAAGAACCGTGGCCCAGAAGGGCTTCGCTGTTGGATTCTGGCCCATACCGGAATCTTTCAGGCCCGATCCGAACGCACCGACTTTGGTGAGCATTCATTTATCTATTTGTCAGTCAAGTTGGGTCTCCTGTGCCAATTTTCTAACTAAACATGTTTGTCAAAATAAGTTTTATCCAATCGCCGTTATCAAAACTCTTACCCCTTTATTAATAAACGAAGACTACGCTTGGATTAGTTACTCCATGTTTTGTTTCGGTCTATTGAATGACAAATGGCATTTGAATGACATGAATAAAACACGGCGTAACTATTCTAAGCTTATTCCTTGTTTATTAATAGGCGGGGTTAGCGTACGCTCCTAATCAGTTAGGAAATAATATTATCGTGACACGAAACATTAAACAAACACGAAAACACGGCGCAGGAGACCCGGCTTAACAATAAAACTACACAGGGTTTTCTTTTTTTCTTTCTAATTACCACGGCATAATACCATTTACAACAATTAATAAAAAAAATGTATGATTAGTGTACTGGTGTAGTATTTAAATGCTTTATTGACAGTATTGTGTTTACAGTTTTCAGTTAACAACAATATCAGTGATAGACTACCACTAACAAGTTTTATTGATTGATTTTAACTTCTGTATGGGAGGGTTATAGCAATCTGTTTTTTTACACCCAGTGAATCGTGAAGGTTCAAAATATTTGTTTATAAACAGAAACTTTAAAGCCAATGATTAGTTATTTTGTCTTGTCTGTTTTTTTCCATTTCACACAGAAATTTTGCCAATGTCCCTTAGTGCAAGTATATTAGTATTAAAGACTTAATAATAACCCATCAAAGATGAAACAAAATGCTGATTGTTGAATAAACATATTAAAATTTTCTTGTTGCATTATAATTAAAATATGTATTCTACGGGCTAAAAACGGTATAACGAAGGTAACCTTTAATACTGTTTTTAACCCGTAATGTATTTGTATTACTATGCTATTCATGGTGATTGTTATTGTTTTGCATTTGTTCTCAGCCGCCTCGATCGGCGCATCCCGTGGTAAAGTTCACGTGCTCCAGTCAGGAGCCGATGGTGATTGACAACTTACCTTTCGACAAGTACGAGCTGGAACCGAGCCCCCTTACGCAGTTCATTCTGGCTAGGAAACAGCCGACCATCTGCTGGCAGGTCCGTTCTTAATAGATTTTGTCGATTTTGATTCTCATCATCCGCTGCCGTAATATAATGATATATTATGAAGTAATGATTTTATTAATTTTGCATGCAGTTAGTATAGTGCGATTCAAACTTTATTGCGGTTGTGAAGTTAGCAGCGAGCGCAACTTATTTATTTACTGCGCCGCGACTTGCGCAATTACCATTATGTTGGAATCGCACTCTACACCCGTTAATCGCTGCTAGTTTCAAATGCATTATTTATTTAAAAAAATGCGACCTTTACATTAAATAAGCAATAGTCTTTTGAGAAGTAGAAAAGAAGAATGGCGCAAGTAGTTAGCGCGTTCTGTTTGCGATCGTGAAAGTTAAGCTTCTTTCGCAATGGCCGGTCTTAGGATCAGTGACCATAAATTTATTATCTCGAGCTAATCTGCGCTACGGGAGGTATGTTAAGCCGTTTGTCCCGGCTGCATCTGCAGTCGTTAGAACCCACTAGTCCAGTGTGGATAACACTGGACCCGAGTGGTGGAACATGACCCAATCTCCCTGTGTGTGTTTATAACTCCTTATTTATGTATGTAAAATATGAACATATATTTCTTCCTATTATCTTCGTTTTAGTTTGCTGGTATACTTAAACTTCCTCTTTGTTTAGCAGTCCTTTACCGCAAAGGTTGTCTGGAAGAGATGGCTTAAACTGCTTAAAGCAATAACGCCGCCTTTGCCCGCATTATATTGTTTTCATATTATAGTATTTTGTATTATTTTGTGTGTGAGTTATGAAGATGTTTTTTTATTTATCTCCCCATTCCATCTATAGGAAAAAGCATGTGCCAAACAGTTACGCCATTAATACATTGAAGATGATGGTTCTTATTGCAACCACATCCTTAGGCCCGTATTAATAGCTCTCAACTCTGAGACTACGATTTCAAGATACCGTTTTCATACAAAAGAGCACCTCAAGATCGTATTCAAAATCGTTCTCAGAGTTGAGAGCTATATTTTAAGAAAAGTTTACTAGAAAAAAATCCACGCGGACCAGGCAGCGGACGGGACTCGAACTCGCATCTTTCGCAATCCGGGCGAATGCACTGACCATTATGCTACCACGGCCCTCCTATTAGCCGCGTCGAAATTTTCCTAGCCTTAAGCTGCAAGGCAGCGCCATCTCTTCGCATTGTAGGTAACCCACAATGTCAAATGAATACTTTTTCAAGTATTAACCATTTGAAAGAAGAAATAGCAATTATAGTTATGATTTTATTTATTTTTTAAGCATTTAACTGCTAGATGTTTAAACCTAAAGAAAAGTTTACTAGAAAAAATCCACGCGGCCGTGGTAGCATAATGGTCAGTGCATTCGCCCGGATTGCGAAGGTTGCTGCCTGGTCCGCATGGATTTTTTTCTAGTAAACTTTTCTTTAGATTTAAACATCTAGCAGTTAAATGCTAAAAAAATAAATAAAATCATAGCTATATATTAATACGGGCCTTAATCATATACCATTTCATTTCAGGTGTTCGTTGCTAACAGTGGTTGCAAGAACTCTGAAGTGAATCACCCCTTCGGCTACCTCAAGGCGTCAACTAATTTGACTTGCGTGAATCTGTTCGTGCTTCCGTACAACTATCCGGTATTGCTCCCGCTGCTCGACGACCTGTTCAAAGTGCACAGATGCAAACCAACGCCCGAGTGGAAGTTGGCATTCCAGCAGTATTTAGATAGGATGCCTTCGTACTATGTCGCGGTGAGTACATTGCCATATTGTTAAATCGATCTATCTAGCTTGGCCTTGTGTAGCATATAAATAAATGAAATTCGATCTAGCGATGTAAACAAATTGAGGGCGATATTTAGCTTTTTTAATTCAACTTTGTGATTGATAATTTTGTGTGATCTTTGGCCAGCTAGATTCCGTCACTTGACTTGGCTATTGTATTTGCTATTTGTAACAGTCTGTCTTGATCATGATTTTTAAGAAATAAAAAGCTTAGACTGATGGCAAGTTTACAAATAGCAAACATGAATAGCCAGTGCTTGCATGACACAAATAATTTATTGGAAATATTTTTTTCTTATACTATAGATGAAGACTTAAACACTTGAATTGAACTGATAAGAAAATAAGTCATTCAGTTATTGATGCTTTAAAATCAAATTGCAACACATTTTATTAAAACTGTTTTATCAATGTATGTTGATTCTGTGGCTTTAATTAAACTTTGCGCCTATCCTAAAGCCCCACTCAGCTTTGAGATTATGATAAAAGTTATTTAATTTTACTAACCGGAAACCACATTAGATAAGTGTTACATTCCTGTGATAAGAAGTTGAAAAAAAAATTTGTTTATGTTTGAAAAAAATCTCTCCATTGTTAAGCTATTTAGTTTTATGCCATATTTTATTTGGCTCTAAATTATAAACTGTTATTAGGGTTTCACAGTCCCATCAGTAACACCTTCATAAAATTTCTTTCTTTTTGGTTGTAATGAAAATGATCTTTTTCTTCCAGCCTCTTCGCAGAGCGTTAACAAAAATGGGTGCTTCGGCGCCTCTGCTTCAAAGCTTAATACCAGACACGCAGGATAACTCTCTCAGCTTCTCAGTGCTAAACTACTTGAAGAGACTGAAAAACCAAGCAAAGATCGAGTTTGAGAAGTTGTGCGCTGACGTCATCAACAAAGCTTCCAGCAATAACACGCAAAAGGTATGTTGTAATGCTATTTACTATGAATCATGTGTAGTGATGCAACCATAAGCCTTTGTGCCGATACGAGGCTGATTCTTTATAAAATATCATCGAATACCGACACGATACCGATGTGCTTAGTATCTATACATATAATAAAATGGTAGGAAAGTCAAAACTGTACATTGAATATTTTTTTAAAAGAATACATAGGCTGTGATCTGCTATCGATACCGAAGCCAAAAATATAGTTTTTAAGAATTTTTGTCTGTTTATCTGTATGTATGTCCGGGCTAAACTCAAAAAGTACTGTATTGATTTACTTCAAAGAACATGGTAAAGTTTTGTATGAGCGACTGCCCTGCCAATGTATAAATACTGTTCTTAGTAATATTTAATGGTACATGGCTGAATATTTATAATTTCTATGAAAAATGGCTCAGGTACTTTTGATAGTCACAATCTTGAAAATTATGAAAACTCCTACTGTGTCCATGATCTTACTACAGTTGATAAAAGTTGTTGCCAATTATTTACAGAGTCATCGATTTCGCATTTTCTTGGAATCTTTCTTTCCATTTCTCTGATTAACTCTTCACAAAAAGTTTTTTAAAGCAAAAATAAATACAAATAATTTGTTATCATCAGTCTGACAGAAAATCAGTGAAGTTTTATTTTGTCCATTTGCAAAAAATTAAAGGAATAGTTATCATACAGCCTTGTCTCAAGCCTGATCAGAATAATAAAATCTATTATTTTAGGCCTTCAGTGATTTAATTGAATAATAATTAGGGGCAGACAGGTCATAGTTTGAAGGAGTTTAAAAATAATATTGTTTATTTCGATATACCTACATAAATATTTTTTGTGTACATTTATTGTTCATTTATTTTGTAAAACTGGCGGATGCAATGAAAAAATAGGTGTGAGGTCTAGCGTTATCATGATGAAAAACTACACCCCTTCTGTTAATTAATACCGGAGCTTCTTGCTTTAATCTCATCAGTTGTTCGCAGTAGAGTTCATGATCCATGTCCTGCTCAGCGGTAACAGCTCATATTAAATAATGCCCTGCCATACCCACCATACTTGTGAGTAATGTTGGGTGAAGCTGTGCATCACCTTGTTGCAAGTTAACCCGGGTTTCGCCAGTGTCTGTGCTAAAGATATTTTCTAGTAAAAAAAAATAGTATAAAGCTAGCAGTTAAATGCTTAAATTAACAATATAATTATAATATACCGACAATTTAAAATATCACATTCCAGATAGCAGAGAGCGTACGAGTGATGCCCCGATCTCCTCTAAAGAAAGACTTGACGACGCACCCGTGCCTCCAAGACAAGTTTACGGCGTTACGCGATCAATTGAACGAATTCGGGGGATTCGTCGTTGGCCTGTCGAGAGGGCGGCATAAGGCGCAGGCGCATACGTACAGAAACCCTTTCGACATACAGAGGAGAGATCTGCTAGATCAGGTAATTCTGTTATACTCAAAGTTTAAATTTTAATTAAAGTTGACACTGGTGTCGATTCGGGCATGACTTTGTAAACTTAAAACTTAATTTAGCCTTTTCATTCTGTATAGAGAATGATAAAGATACATTGTTGTCAAATTTAAGTTTGAGTTTACATGCATCATACCAGAATCGACATCGCTGTCACTTTGCTTGCGATAATAATAACGAGAGAAGCATTAAATTAATTTGACTTTTCTGAGTATGGCTGTTAGATTTGATTCCTTCCATTTGGAAATATTGCAATAGTTTATTAACTTCGTGTGTCTGATGGCTGGTTTCCATCCTCAATTTCAATCCCTTAGAGTTGATAATTCGCATCAAGAAAGTAGCCTATTGGATACGGTCCAAGGTGGCCTTTACTTCTTTAATCTAGGTGAAAACGTAACAGACGGAATATCACTTGAATTTTTAATGTTACTATGGATGTTTATTAAACATCAACACAGCAGATTCCATAGAAATAAAATGTTTGTTTCAGTGAGCACTTTATCATACCCAACTGGGTTCTCATCAGATCACGCACAGGCAAATAAACTTTACCTCTTTATAAAATTAAACTAAACAAAATTTTACCCATTTCTCCAGGTGGTCCGCATGAGGGCGAACTTCCTTCAACCATCGCTGGCACACACTCGCCTCGTGGACGAGGACAGCGTGCACTCTATGCCGGTCGCGCAGATGGGCAACTACCAGGAGTACCTGAAGCGGATGACGCCACAGCTGCGCGAGATCGAGTCGCAGCCGGTGCGCCAGCACATGTTTGGCAACCCGTTCAAGATAGACAAGGTATTCATTGTGATAATTAGTCCGCATGAGGCAGAACTTCCTTCAAACATCGCTGGCTCACACTCGTCTCGTGGACGAGGACAGCGTGCACTTTATGCCGGTCGCGCAGATGGGTAACTACCAGGAGTATCTGAAGCGGATGACGCCGCAGCTGTGTTAGATAGAGTCGCAGCCGGTGCCCCAGCATATGTTCGGCAACCCGTTCAAGATAGACAAGGTATTTTTGGTGTTCCACAGACCAGTGCATAGCTATTTGCTTCTAGCTTTCTAATAGGCACGGCTAAGATGTGGAACGATCACCCAAAATGCAGGGATATCTTTTTTCCTTGACCATTATAACTTTTAAAAGTGTAAATAGACAAGAGGAGAGCTCGAGATATAAATTTTTGGCCACCTAGCCTGTGGTCGGCCATTGCGAATATCTCTTGTCTTCGACAACCGCAGACAGATAGAACGCGTTTATTAACAGGATAGGCAGAAAAGTGAGATTCTAATTTAAGTCGGTTGTGAAGTTAGTAAAGAGCGCAACTATTCACAGGCTCCGGTTTCAATTCATAGACACCGGTGGGTGTGTGGCCAGTCTTACCAGGATGTCATAACAACACCCACGTTCTCAGCACTCACTCTAAAGACCTACATAATGTCTAAGTGCGAGGAAGATCTATGTGATTAGGGCCATTTTACTGAGCCGAGCTGGGTGAAATGGGGGGGGGGGGGGAGGAGTTGTTTTTTAGGGGATACATACCGCTTATCGGGATTGCTATGGCTATAGCTTTTGATTTAATATCGTAAATGAAAATAAGCATGAGGTATTTGAAAATCAAAAACATAAGATATAGCTATACCGATAGGCGGTAGGCTCCCTGGTGGTGGAATGCGTCATGCCTATCCCAGACATTAAAAAAAGATTTCAGTTCATGGAGATGGAATATAATGTGTCATTGTTGTTGCAGCGAATGATGGTGGACGAGGCGGACGTTGACCCGGTGGGGGCGGCGGTCCGCAGCGGTGCGGGCGGTGCGGCGGGGAGTGGCAAAAGGGGCGCGGAGAGGCCTCCCGCCGCGCCGCCTAAAAGGAAGGCGGGGCCGATACCGCTGCACGTGGTCGCGCGCCGCCCCTCCTCGCCCGTGCCGGCCGTCATTACCCCGCCTTCACCTGCAGCGGTTCCTATACCTGCGCCTGCGACGCCCCCGCCGCCTGTGGTTCAGCCAGTTCTCGCGCCGCTCTCGCCTGTGCTACGCCGACCGACGTCGCCGCTAGCGCCAGCGCCGCCGGACCTACCGCCACCGAGACCGCCCGAGGTAAGACAGCAAAATATATACGAGGCGGTGTTCTCCTCCCCTCATCGCGTCTCGCCACCTAAACCGAAGGTGTTCCTATACCTGTACCTGCGTGCCCCCCGCCGCTTGTGGTTCAGCAAGTCCTTGCGCCGCTCTCGCCTGTGCTACGCCGACCGACGTCGCCGCTAGCGCCAGTGCCGTCGGACCTACGGCCACCGAGACCGCCCGAGGTGAGACTGCTATATAGATACTAGGTGCCGTCCTCATCCCTGCGCCTGCGCCTGCGACGCTGCCACCTGTTGTGACTCAGCCTGTACTTGTGCCGGTCTCACCCACGTTGCGTCGATCGAAGGCGGGGCCGATACAGCTGCACGTGGTCGCGCGCCGCCCCTCCTCGCCCTCGCCGGTGGTCTTTACCTCGCCTTCACCTGCCGCGGTTCCTATACCTGCGCCTGCGATGCCCCCCTGTGGTTCAACCAGTGCTTGCACTGCTCTCGCCTGCGCTGCGCCGACCGTCATCACCGCTAGCGCCAGTGCCAAATGAGCGACAATAACTGGTATAACTGTTTGTAAATTATTTATTTATTTATATATAAATAATTAAATAAAATAAATTATAATTATATTTTCTGTGTTGTGGTGTTTTCAAAAAAGTATTGTATTATATAGGGAACGCTCAGTCAATTCTCTGTCTACGGCAATATGGTTGCCACGTCACGTCTTGCCTGTCAATTATTTACTTTCAGATAATAATGCTTAAGAACTCATTCACAAATCCAGTTCTATTTGTATGCATGCCTTCTAAAATTGTTTGTATAAGAACTGAACTGTTATCTGAATTAAATAAATAAATCCACAGGAGCCTCCGATTGTGGACACGGGGGGCCCGGCGATGGCGACACTGGGGGGACCCGTTGCGCCGCCACCTTCGCCGCCAGTGCTTGCCCCTACAAACCTTCCGCCTGTTATTAAGCCTTTTCTCAATGGAGGTAAATAGACAAAAGAAAATTTTGCTTTTTATACGAAAAAATCGTTCAAAACACCTAAATCACTCGTCAATACATATCTGAAAATAACCTTTATATATAGGATGCCGTATTCATACACTTTCAATGTATTCGTTTTCAAAGATGCAACTATCAGAAGTGATATTTACATCGCTCTTTAAGAGCCCTTTTACAAAATTGCGCCGCTGCCGTATTGATCGGCGCGTAGGTAGCTTTGCTCTAGTATATATTACATTTTACGGGTGATGTTTCGAGTCTTATAAAATAATTATTAATTAACTAAATATAAAAATATTTACATATTTCAGTAGTTCAATGGTGGTAGATTAGTTTTATGGAAGTGTTTATTAGTACTTCTATTTAATTCAATATCAAAATGCGAGGTAAACCTGCATTATTTTTGGGAAAACTCACGGTGGTTACATGTTTTTTTGATAATTAATGAGATGGAAAATCAAAATTCTAATACATTATGTTACAACAAAAACATATTTCTGATGTCGTAGTAATTAATTTGATCTTATTTATTGAACATTATTTAGAGATTTAGGCGTTTGAAGTTGTGCATATTATCGTTTTTTCCGTAAACTAGCTGCGATAAAACGATCAGTACAAAAAAGGAAAATAGTGTTTGCAAATATTCTACATTAACTTACAAAAGGAAGAATAAATCTACTGATTACTTCTATTGGAAATCATCAAAATCTTTTCTAAGGGGGTAAACGAGGCGCTCAAAAATTACGATTTTTGCAAAAAATGTGAAAGGGGCCGTTCATAAAATACGTCACGCTAAAATCAGCTTTTTCCGACCCCCTCCCCCCCTATTGTCACGCTGTGTCACACTTTCTGTGACCCCTCTTGAAATATTCCGTCACAAAAACGGAGACCCCCCAAGTATGATTAATTTCAATTGATAGTACACAAATTTTAAGAATTTAAATATTTATTTAGTTTTTATAATAAAATTTAAATATATAAATAAATATCTTTTCATAACAAATAAATAAATCATATTTCTATTAATCAGAAGTCCAAGGATCCTGTAAATGCGCTGAAATATCTATCAATGGTGTATGAAATATTGCAACATCTTCTTCTTCATTTTCAAAACTACCGTCCACTTCATCGTCATGTATCCATTCTGCATTTTCTGTACCAGCTTGTTCATCTCCTGATACGCATAACTAAACAAATTACGAAATAAATGATTTTCTATCTTGATGAAAATTGAGAAAGAAAAATAGTTGAAAGAAATACTAATTTAAATTTTTTTAATGAACGACGAACATCACGTTGCCGTAGACCCCCCGTCCCCCCTTGTCACACTTAGCAAGACCCCTCCCCCCCCTTGTATGCGAACGTATTTTATGAACGGCCCCAAAGGGCTCTTAACTATAAATTTATTTACAACTTTACTGATATTAATTTGTCACTCATGGAAAATTTTATGTTTGATCAATCACCATCAGCCTATTAATGTCCCACTGCTAGGGCACAGGCCTTCCCTATGGATGGAATAGGTAAATTGGGCCGTGACCCACCGCGCGGGCTCAGTGCGAATTGGGGACCAACGGTTTAACGTGCCTTTCGAAGCACGGAGGAGCTCGAGATAATAAATTTTCGGTCACCCATCCAATGACCGACCACTGCGAAAGTTGCATAACTTTAACGATCGCAACCTAACGCGCTAACCACTTGCACCATCAAGCTCCTCAAGTTCAGATGTTGAAGATATATTACACATTATTAATCTCCACTTATTCGTTTCCTCGGACAAAGTACACTATTTTTTCAACGTAATACAGATGCTAATTTTATACGCATCCTTTTGATGAATCCATTGGAAATGATCTTTTTTCTAATGAAGAAATAAACTAATTTCTAAACAAAAATAATAATCTACAGATGCGTATACGACGATGGGCAGCAAAATGCCGCGTTCTCCCTCTCCACCAGAGGAACCTTTACCCCCTCCACCGCCTCTTCACGATACGCAAGAGTTGCAGATCAATGCCATATTGCAAGGCATCGCGGCAGAGAACAACTCTCACGCTAGACCCGCCAAGCGGAAAAGAAAGGTAAGCTGGGTAGATGAAACTAGTCTAAATTTATTAAGGCTATGTTTATGAGCAGCAAAAAGACGCGATAGACGCCTATATTTAAGGTATTGCGGCAGAGAACAACTCTCACTCCAGACCCGCCAAGCGGAAAAGAAAGGTAAGCTGGGTAGATGAAACTAGACGGCATATATATTATCTTATTGCCATAATGCACGTAGGAAGTAAAAAATAATCAATTTTCAACCATAAACCGTTGTTTATGGGTGATCAGCGAAAAGAGCGGTTGTTATCGGCTGGCCGAAAACGATAACAACCGCCTTTACATCTATAATCTTGACCTGCCTAGTGGGAAAGAAATATACTCGCTAGAAGTGGATTCTATAGACTTATTTTCTGTGGAAAACATAAGTCTAATTTGGGCTGCGTTTCAACCGTTATTCCACCCTTCTGTTAACGACACACGGTAGTTGCAGATCGACTTTATATTGTAGGCATAGCCGCTTAAATCTATTTCCACCCGTCAAGCGAAAACGAATGTTAAACTTGGTAGAATTAATTGACAACGAAACCTACAATATATATTTGGCTGAATTTAGTGTAATGTGGTTTATTGAACATGTGTTGGCTAAAACTCTATTCCTTTCACCGCCCCTATATGACACACAGGAATTGCAGATCAACACTATATTGCAAGGTCTCGCGGCAGAGAACACCTCGGAGTCTAGGCCTACTAAGTGGAAAACAAATGTAAGCTGAGTAGAATGCACTGAAACCAAAGCTTATGATCGACCACCATAACAAAGACGCTTACGATATCAGAAAAATCGCTATATGCCACAGTGATCAAAGTAGATGATACATTAGGTATTGTACGCTGAAACTGTACAGTCAGGTGCTATAATTTGTGACCCATTTTACTGAAATATGGCTAGGACCTTCACATTGCAATAAGGTCGGAAAATTCAAAAGCACGTGACTGTACATGCGCGCAAAGTTATAACTAGGTATTCATAGTTGTCATTTTTATATATATATCATTTATCATTGCTTAGTATCAGTTTGTATCATTATAGTTGGAATTTTTGTACCATATACTCCTGTTTATGTTACTATCCCTTTCATTATTAGTAGTATTATTCATCCATTTTCAATCTAGCACGAGAAATTAATACTGTATATAGAATTTTTATTGTAGTCAGATAATTAGAGCTGGCTGTACAGTCATCTGCTTTCATTTGGGACCTTTCTAAAGCTATAAAACATGTAACAGAAATAATAATGAACTCCCTAAATATGAATGGATTTCGATAAAAAAGTATTTAAAACAAAATTACAATAAGAAATTGACATTGATTTAATCGTTAATATACAAAAGAATATGATACATAAGGGAAGGTAATTAAGCCCATATTAAAATGTAACTACATGAATTCTTTTTGACCTGGAGATATATTTATTGGAAGTAGTCCAAATTTAAAGCACGTGACTGTACAATCGGGGCGGCGTGGATGAATGAAAATTGGAATTAATATTGAACTGTTATTACGTAGCATTAAGAGCGATATTTGTACGTCACTGTATCGTTGGTACATTCGATGATAAAGAATCCAAAGTGAATACAATATAGATTATGGTAAAAATCTTTCAGAGCGAAAAACCACCGGCTATGCCGATTCCACTGCAGCCCACGCGGAAAGAGCTGGCTGATATCAAGAAGCACAACCTCGACGTACGCTCAGAAGTGTTCAGGGCGATACGGAGACCGGGCAAAGGTAAATATTTATGGATATGACATCCATCTAGGGTTGCCAACCCTACTATATAATATAGAATCCTACTATATTAGGGGATCAAATACTATATTTCTAAAAAGATATATAGTAGGCGAAACTACTATATTTTGCTTAAAGCATATTTTTGACAGTAAAAGCTTTCTTAAAAATTATTAGAAATTATTATTATATTATTAAGTTAATTAGTTAGTAAGGCAAAGAGCAGCAAAAATATATTTAGTTCAAAAATAAAGTATTTATTTAAACCGTGTCCGTATACTACATTTTTTTCCATTTTTTTCCAGCTACTATATTGTTAGAAGTAACACTTCGAAAATACTATATTTGATAGAAAAAAAGTTGGTAACCCTACATCCATCCCACATTATCCATATCAAGTTCCTCTGTTGCGCTTTTTATTTTTCAAATTTAATACATTCTGGGCAGTGAACTAGTCTTGTTCCGTTTTTCATTTATTTATAGTCATCCCATTTTTGCATTTCGCCTCAAAAATTATCATTTTGGAAATAACTCATCGCGTCTATTCTTTTCAGATTACACAAAATTGTTCGAACATTTAAAACAATTGAAAGGTGGTGTGGATATTAAAAAGGAAGTGATACGGGAAGTGATAAACGAATCGCTCAGGTTCAAACGCAAGGTTCTCGCGAACCTGCTAGAAGAATTCTTGGCGGGACTCGAGAAGAACGGCAATAGTTCTTCGTCAGTAGGAATGAAGAGGATGGCGAATGCACTCTATGCCAATGCGCATAACAACCACAGCTAGTGTAAGTGCGGACGTTAATGTTGATACGGAGAACTTTAAAAGCTCAATTCGGTAACGTGTTTTAATATTTGTGTAAGGAAGGTGTTAAGTACTCCGCGAAAATGTGACGTGTTTTAATGAATTGACAAATATGTAATAAATACTGTTTGTTTGTTTGTTTTACCTTATGAGTAATATGTCGTCGATCTTTTAGTAAACCAAATGAGATGAATTATTATTTCTGTCCTGATTTATAATGCCAAGTAGAGAAATGTACTGAAAAATAAATCGATCTCTCCTACAGATGGGAAAAAAGACCAACATCTTCTCACTCCTAAGTTTATAAGGGAATTTTCTGTGTCGTGCGTACGTACCTACGTCGTTACGTGCTACTGATATTTTTTTTCACTGCTTGATTATGTGATGAAACCATTGCCTAATCAATTAATCATCTTTGAATTTTGCTTCTCTAAAGATCTGAAGGATGACAGGTACTTATTTTACAAATTATAGTAATGTAAAGTACAGTAAAGATGAAGTTAAAGATTTAAAAAGTCTACCTTATTGTTTTCATCTAAATCAAATAAAATTATTGTTCTGTGCATTTTCCTACTTATTGTAAAACATTTTTTTAACAAGTTTATTTGGACTGAAATGAAGATTCATAATCTATAAATTTATGTCATAACTAGAAATTTATAACAGATGAATTTAATATGACATTACAGTTTGGTTACACAATTGTTTACCTATATTGCTTGGGAATTATTTTAAAAGGGACCATAGGATGCAACGAACATTATTTTCAAAGTGGCTCGCAGTATTGCCTCCAAAACTAGATTTGATTTGAAACTTGAGGAATTTTTCTTTCCGTGTTAAATAATTATTAATAGGTTATACTTACTAGACTGGACATATTTTATTTACATATTGTGTTTAGTTGATGACCCAATTTTGTGACTCCGCCTGCATTTATGTTTAGAAATAGCTTTTTAAATAAGTTACGGAAGAAATACTATGTTGGTAGTATGTAATACACCAATTGACTGCATAAATATGTGTGTCTATTTCCGAAATATAGTTTATACACGTAACAACAAAAAATATTTGAATATTGACGTTCAAGCGAAATTGGACTTTAAAATTGACAAATGTTAACTGTGTAAATAACACGTGATTATTAAACCATTTGATACAACTAAAATGTATTTGGAAATGCTTTTACAGCATAATATTTACGTTTGATCATATGTTTTTAATGTTGTGGTATTACAATTAGTTTGGATGTATACCACACTCACATAAAACTTTAGACTACATGTCAATCCAGCTATCAAATGGTGGCTTGTAGTATATACTCCAAATTTTTTGGCGTTTTATTCAAATCAATTCGGCTTCGTAAACGATTTGAGAATAAATTATTAAATATATTTCTAATAAAAGAAGGAAAACAACACATTTTCGCGGTGAAATTTTTTTACAACACATGATTCGAAAGGACTTGTTGTTATTTGTATTGATCACTTGTTGCCAGTTAATGGTTTCGTAGGATTCAAAGTTGCAATATTTGTATTTTAGCAGTATGAAATATTAATTTTATGTCTCGAATTGTCCAGTTTTACTAACGCCTTTACTAGACCTCATTTGCACATAACATTAGCTTGATTGATGATCTCAAGTAATTGTATCTCTGCACTAACATTCATTTTACCAATAGATTCATACATAAGTAATTTATATTTTTTTTTGTCCTATGAAAGAGGTCAGTCACCATGAAACTATTTTTTTCCCCAAAGCATTTATTTAAAAATACATTGAGTTTTGTTTTATGTCTTTTAATGAACATGTTTCTTTTGTTTTTATTGATAAATAGGCTACCAGTTTTTCTCGTCATTTTGTTGTTCTGTGCATTGTGCTAAATGGAAATGAAGCAATACGAGATTAAGGTGATTTAGTATGAAATTTAGTCATGTGTGCAAAATGACAGTAAAATTGAGTATTTCAAATGTGTAAATATCCAGTGTACATATTAGATGTAGGTATTATTACCAATGAGAATGTATGTGTAGGATGCTACGAAGCATCGTGAAACACGGCCGATGGTGTGACCGAACACACGAATATGATTTTATTTTAAAAGTGTACTTATTTGAGCGCTTTAAATATTATAGTAAGTACTTGTGTGGGTTCTGTTGTTGTTGTTGTTGTTGATGAGATCTGTTTGATTCTTCATATGGAGTCGAATGGTTCGGCCACATTATCAGGCGTTTGGTCAATTTGTAAAGTGTATTATATCTTTTTTAAATAAATTATGGTCCTTTTTGGATTTTTAATTTGCTGTTTTATTTTTGTATCAACTTGGTTTTAACTGAGTGATGACATTTAGTTAACTGAAAATCGCTATTCGATCATTTGATGGAACATAAGGTCATAGCGCACCTGACCTTAAGGGTGAAGCCAAACAAGCGTAATTTTGAGTTGTGAGTCGCTTATTTTCGGTCACTTATTTTACGTTCAACTGAATTTCTGTTGAGCTGCCATACGAATGTAATTTATTCAGTTACTATTGAACGTTAGTACGGGGTGTTCGTGTCGTCGAGTGCAATGGATCCATTAAAAATATTGTGTATTTACGAAGCATATTCAGAAGATGAGGCCAGAAAAAGAAACTGGGTAAACCCACTGAATAGTCAGAGGCTGATATGTGGACAGTTCCATACTTTATATGAACGTTTATGTACAAATCCAGATATGTTTGAAAAGTACTTTCATATGCCATTACGTGTTTTTCAAGAATTATTACACCACGCGACTTGTAACAAACTGTTGCTTCCCCAATCCCCTTCCTTGCCCTACCCTCACCCCGACCGAAATTCGGACAAGCTTATGCGCATTGAGTCGGCAGACAACTCATTTTGCGTTGTCGTGTGGCACCAACTGCCTTTTTGTATGAAACCGAATGCAGCAGAATTTCTGCGACCGAAATTCTGCTACTCACCACTCACAAAATTACGCTCGTTTGGCCTCACCCTAAGTCAATTTCGTTGTCTCAACTCACACTTGTGCAGAGTTGAAGCGACGGGACGCGTCATGTTGTTCGTCTGTAGCCATAAAGCACCACAGCCGACCCGGATGGCCGCGTCGGCCGTTTTACCCTATGCCTGTTGCTCATTCAATCTATTTTTCCGCTATTAGGCAAACATTTGTGTTATGCAAATGTGGAACTTCGCATCGACGCGCGCCTTCGCGACCGAAATCTCGAAATGCGTCATGATAGGTACGTCTATATTCCTAGTCCTATTAATATTATAAATGTGAAAGTTTGTATGTTTGTATAATTGTTTGCAGTCACGCAAAAATATCTGAACGGATTTGAATGAAATTTGGCACACATAGTAGCATAAAGAAAGTAATCTAGTTATAAAAGAGACTCCATTTTATAACTTACCTATTATAAAGACATATAGTTCATTCGCGTTAAGAAAATAGTGACTCATCAGTGCAACTGCAGGGTAAGGGTGTATTCATAATGGAGAAAAAATTAAACATTTTTTTTCAAAACATTAAATAAGTTTAATAGAAAAATAATAAAGTATCAATGATTTTAAACATGTTAAAATATTCCTATTAAGGTAATTTTTAATGTCAACTTAAACGCTATATTAGTAGAGTAACACATATTTGGATTAATCGTAATAAGTACTAAAATAAAAAAATACAAAATTGTCTTAAAACTAAGTACTTAAATCGCTAATCAGTATCGCTAGATTCTCCCGTTACATTTATTACGAATGAATTTTGTTCTGCATGTTCCATGACGTCATCCAAACCCCACATGGTATTTTCTTCGCGTATCACGTGGTCGCAGCATTTCTTCCACCGATTGGCGTCTACTAACGCGATTGCGTCATAAAATTTTTTTTTTACGTCACTCATTTTGAATGTAGTATTATTCGCAGCAATATAATTTTTTATTTGGGCCCACACCATTTCAATCGGATTTAATTTACAATGGTAAGGCGGCAGACGAAGAATTGTAATGCCATTGTTTTTAGCAGTCTCATCTACTAAATATTTATTATATTGTGGGGCGATTTCGGCGACTTTCAATAATAATTCTTTTTTCAAATAACTCATATCCATAGATATGTCTTTGTTTTGCAACCACTCTAGTATTTGCTGCTTATTCCAACTGGCCGTGGGTATTTTTTCAACTTTTACCGAATGGTAGGGAGCGTTATCCATGACAACCACACTTCCTGGTTCAAGCTTCGGTATTATACCATTGAACCAATTAAGGAATCTTTCACCATCCATTTCTTCATGATAATCTTTTGTAGATTTAGATTCAAAGACTAGTAAACCATCTTCCAGGAATCCTTTTTCGCTGCCAATGTGCAATATAATTAACCTTTTCCCTTTCCCTGTCGGAGCTTTTGGGCCGGTTGATAAGCCATCTTGGAAAGCTTGTCTTTTATTCTTGATTGTTGTATCCAACCACACTTTTGTTTTTACGTGTCCGGCGTTTACCCACGTTTCGTCGAGATAGTAAATGGTTTTATTAGCGTTTCTATATTCTTTTATTTGTCTTAAATATTTTCGCCTCCATAAAACAATATCTTCTCTTTCCACTAACAATTTTCTACTATCTTGTTTATTGAAGTCAAAACCAAGCTCGTGCAGTATTTTGTGAAGTGTTGTACGTTTGAAAACAGGAATATCTTCATCAGCTTCGCAAAGTGTTATTATTTTGTCCAATGTTGGATACTCGTTATTTAAATATATAGAGTGTACTTTTCTCCTTAGACAAATGTGCAATTTGTCTAGTTCATCTAATTTATCGACCGTGGATAGTCGAGCTCTTTTTTTCACAGGTGATTTCAATGTATTCGTTTCTTTTTGTTCTTTTATAATTTTATAAACAGTGTTTTCGGACACACCGCATGCACTTGCAGTTTTAATTACTATGCTCTCCACAGTCTCATTTAAATCAATCTGTTTGAAATATTTATAAACATTGTAAATTACGCGTCTCTCTCCGCTATGTATAATTGATCCACTTTTATTTTTTTTAATAGGTGAGATATCCATTTTCCAAATTTAATTTTAAACAAGTAGTACGCAAAATACACAACCGATCAGTTCGAAGGTCTGACTTCAACTGAGCACTGTGAACTCGCCTTACTAATTTCTAGCGTTTTAATTGGCTAGGGGGCGTGGCTTGGCCGGCAGTCGGTGATGAGTCACTATTTTCTTAACGCGAATGAACTATAGTTTATTATCTGGATTGAGGCATAGGATATTTTTGTCCTTATTGTTTTCTCCTTCAGCCATTCTCACGCCTGCCGAGCCCTGGAAACGGTATTTTTTTTTTACTGTAGTGTTTGATATCGGGCGTTATTTCCACAGACGTGCTTTCATTCGAGCGAGAAATCTGTTTTGCCATGGGCGTCTTTACACTACCTTAAAGGTTTAGATCATCAGGACCAGCCGGCACCGCCTCGTCGCGCGACGTCCACTAATGGGCGACCAGCAAACTTAGGTTGACGCCGCTAAAGTGTAAAAAAAAACATTTACATTTATTTGGGAACAACAGTGTTCGCTCTCATTGTGGTTCTACCTCTTATGGGCGAGGTAGCTCCTCCCATCAAAACTCGAAAAGGGTATTTTTTTTAGAAGTTTTCTTCCTTGTGGCTTCCACCCCTTACGATGACGGCCCCCAGCCCCACACCATGTAAAGGAGTTACGGGTTGGCCGTTGTTGTAAGTGGCACGAAATCCGCACCACAACCGCCCGGTCCACAAGGAGACCCAACACTACGAGCGTTGCTGCTCCCACCAACCGAGTCTCGAATACCCGGGCTAGCATTTCTATACGATAAACCATAATGGAGCATATATGCTCTAAGACAATAAACACGCGTAAATCCTGCTCTGATACATCTCAGACGGTGATATGTACTGCAATAGGATTTAGAGTTATTTATCGCGCCACAAATTAGGGGTTACCTAATTCTATTTGGCAACGTGAAACTGATACTAAAGGAAGACTAAGAACTAATAATATAGGTTTTGGTTAATAGTTAGTATGTATATATAGCGTGACAAATAAGGCTAATAAACTACGACAATAAAAGATTTTATTGTGTAATTAAGATTATTTCAAACCCATTCACCACTAAGCGGCCCGTCTGGGCCGCGCTCGGAAAAAAGATTGCATCGTTAAACACCAAGCGGCACTTATGGGCTGCGCTACCCACGGGGCTATATATCGATTTTTGAGATGGTTACGAGTCGAATCTTGTTTGAAGATGTTTAACTATAGACTAACCAGGATAAAGGACCCCGCAGAATCCTTATGGAAGCTGGCTCTCGGCCAATTTTTCTGTTACTTTGGGAGATGATAGCTCATGACACGTGGAATAAAAGACCCCATGGGCCCAATGGCCAGAAGTTCATAGATGAGGAGCTACAGTGTGTCAAAGTCGAAAATGTACGGCTGTATAATGTTTCTGTTGAACGTGAATTCAAAAATGGTTTTGGTGATGTACACACATGTTTTTCGGGTCACTGAATCCGAATCTAGAGTCTATTCGATCCAGTCGGGTCAGCATCAAGGTACCAGTTCAAGGCCAAATCCAGAAAAATACTTACAAGGTGGTGAAAATCCAAACAACCAAATGTTTTCTGGATTGCTGAATCCAAATCCGATGTCTGCTCGACACGATCAGCCCGGAATGAAGGGCATTTCAAGGTCAAATCGAGAACAATACTTCCTTAGCGATGAAAACCCAGAGATCCGTATATTTTTGGGCCACTGAATCCAAATCCAGAGTCTGTTCTATCCAATCGTATGAGTATTAAGGTTAGTTCAAGTTCAAATAGAGAAAAATACTTCCAGGCGGTGGATATTCACACATCCCGATCAGATCAGGATGAAGGTCAGCTCACGGTCCAAATCAGAGACATCCTTGAATGGAAGAGCTACATTAAAACTAGAATGAAATAAGCTTTTCCATGTAAGTTCTGAATTCACGTTCAACCGAAACATTTATCGGTATATACCTATCGGTATATAGGGTGAAATTGAATGTTTCAATGAAACTTCGTGAGATTGGTGGGGTACGTGTATAGAGTATGCCTGATTTTTTTCGGATTTTTTTAAATTATTTTTTACGTGTTTTATTTTTTTATTTGGTTATTATTTGTCATTTCTTCCTTATGAGTAATTATTCATTTTAAACACGTCTACATAGAAGTTGTAAAACCACTTAAAATAAGCACTCCTTAAAAAACGGAAACTTATGAATGACTCCAGTCCAGATCAGCCCCGG